GCATTTGATTCGATGATGTTATTATCACGACGGTCTTCGTATCATTGCTGCCGAAAATGCCCGCCACAGCTCAATACCTCGGGCAACCCCCTCTGAATCTCTTATGTATTCACGTTGCGCTGTTCAATGATGCTAACTATTCTTCTCATTTCTCATAGATTGGACACGGGAAGAGGCCTCTTGTGTTGACGTCGTTCAACAATGGTACGTGTGCTTTCATCTTCCGTGCTCCGATTTGTGGACTAGGATGAACCATTTCGAAAATTTATCAACTAGAAGCTGTTGCTTAGCCTTGTGCGTTGATGATTACTATTGCTAACTGATCATTTGTCGTGTCCGTTGCGTGCAGTATGCTCACTGAAGTTTTGCCTTAGGATTGGTATGGATGATGACTCGGCGACGAAGGCCTAGAGACGGTCAGTAGTAACTATATAGACTACTGCCATGTACGTAGGACGTTGGACATATCAAAATTACATTCACTGTTCTCCTATTTTCTTAACTGCTGGCGTGACGAGAGGAATCCTGCACTGTGCCGGACTGCTCGTGCGATGGCTCGTGCAACGTTCAACCGGCATACAGGCTGGTAAAGTACTCAATCGCTGGCACAATTGAGATGCGTCGTACCCACACTCCGGGGAATGTCTAGAGGGTTTACACGCGTGAAGGGTCGCCACATAGTCTCCGTTGCTGGTTTTCCGAGGAAAGTCTCATGCATATGACAAACGGACGTAGGTATTGATCGGATTCGACATCGACTTCACAGCAACCCAGTTCTATATGTTATGCAACATCTCCTAGTAGTTCAGAGCTAGTTACTGGTCCATTCTTCGCAAATTAGGCACGCACAGCTGAGCGACGACCTGAATGTGCCTGACTGCGTATTATGAATAATTTTGCGAGCCACACTGTGAAATTGAAGTGAATTGACCTAGTGTCTTGACCAGCCAACATGATTGCAAGTATCTGAGAAACAGTCACTTTTTATGCTGAATGTGTGGGCTGCGGTAGGCCGTCTTGCGGCCGCAGTGTGGCAGTGGTCGTAAAGGCGGATGCGCGGAGCGCGCGTGGCATGTCAAAAGCACCATATATGGGAGTTGTTCCTTTAGACTCCGCCATCATTCTCCCTCGCCCCCGCTCGAGCGGCTCAGCGTTCCTCGTCAATTCCCTCCTTTTCGTTTCTTCCTCCTTACCATGGCCACCCCCCACGTAATAGCCTCTTCGTCGGCACACCACAGCTCCCAGTCTGCGACGTCGAACGGCATCGTGGGTGCGCACTTTCGGGTCGGCAAGAAGATAGGCGAGGGCTCATTCGGTGTCGTCTTCGAGGGTGAGTGTCCCAGCAGCCCAACCACAACGCAATCCTCACCTGCAGTACGTAGGCACCAACCTTTTGAACAATCAACCGGTCGCCATCAAGTTCGTGAGTAGCACTTCACCCCTTTCAGTCACGGCGGCCTCACAGTCGCCCTAGGAACCTCGAAAGTCGGAGGCACCACAGCTCAGGGACGAGTACAGGTCGTATCGGACACTGAATGGAACCCGTATGTCCTTCGTTCTCAATGGTCGACTCAACGATTGATCCCCTGTAGCCGGAGTTCCCCAAGTACACTACTTCGGTCAGGAGGGCCTGCACAATGTGCTCGTCATCGACCTGCTCGGTCCCAACCTAGAGGACCTGTTCGATATGTGTGGACGCAAGTTCACGATCAAGACTGTATGCATGGCGGCTAGGCAGATGGTGAGTGGTCGACTACGTGGCCGGTGTTCGATGTCGCCTGCCGGGGGTGCTGTCAAACGCCCTCGACCTCGCGCAGTGTGGCGCAGCCTGAGATAAATACCACCGGCTGTGCTCTGTTCCACACTTTCAATACTGTGCCGTCGTGTACCTCTGGTACCGGCGGTCGGTGCTCCGGAGGATTCTGTACGTGTGGCAGCCATGGGCGCTCTCCTCCTAAAAGTGCCCGATGGCACCCTTTCGGGGGAGACCGTCGGGAGAGAGGGCTGAGTCAAGGTCGGGACGATTGCCCCCAATCCCGCTGCATACCAGGTGTGATCCAGATAATCCTGCACGTTGTCTGGATACACAGGCCAAACTCTTCAAGTCAGGCGTCCTCGCCCATAATCAAGGGGCCCTCATGAACCCTCGTTCTCGTCAGGCTGTTTCCTGGGCGGTGTTGGGGTGGCAGTATGACCGTCTTGTCTTCCCTTCCTTGTGTCGCAATGCGGCTCCGGGCACGCCACTGTCTACAAGGAAACCATTCTCTGATCGCTCGCTCTTGCAGTAGCGTCTGAACTGACGTTTTCATCAGGTGACCCGTGTGCAGGCGATCCACGAGAAATCGCTCATATACCGTGATATCAAGCCGGACAACTTCCTGATTGGTGTTCCGGGATCGAAGACCGCAAATACGATCCACATCATTGGTATGTACACCGACCTATATTTTGCACCCCACCAGGTTGCAGAGTCGCTCGGAGCCGCAGTGTGTTAGGCGGGTCGGAGCTCGCTTCTTCGGTACCCACGCACGCATTCACCAGCATGCTTCATACTTGCCTCCTTGCGTTTGAGCCGCGCAAGGGCTGCTGTGGCTCGCACGCTGACCTCTATGTAGATTTCGGCATGGCGAAGCACTATCGGGACCCGAAGACGAAGCAACACATTCCTTACCGCGAGCGCAAGTCGCTCTCCGGGACAGCGCGGTACATGTCGATCAACACGCATCTCGGTCGAGAGCAATCGCGGCGAGACGACCTGGAGTCACTCGGCCACGTGTTCATGTATTTCTTGCGTGGTGGTCTTCCATGGCAGGGTCTGCGTGCGGCGACGAACAAGCAGAAGTATGAGAAGATCGGTGAGAAGAAGCAGAGCACACCGATCAACGAGCTGTGCGAGGGTTTCCCAGGTGGGTGTTCGTCTGTATGCTCACGGCGTTGGCGTGGCTTATGTGCGGTGTAGAGGAGTTCGCGATCTACATGAATTACGTTCGGAAGCTCGGCTTCGAGGAGACGCCAGACTACGACTTCCTCCGCGAATTGTTCACGAAGGTGCTGAAGACGCTTGGTGAACCTGATGATGGTGTCTTTGACTGGATGCTCCTGAACAACGGCAAGGGCTGGGAAGCTGGTCATGTGCGTTTTTAACGTAACGCTTGAAATAGTACTCACTGATACTGATTGTGAAGACGCCCTCGACCCTGCTCGCTCAGGCGCACGCAACTGCCGCTGCACCGCACACTCCTCACCGCGAGCACCGGTCACGTGGACACGAGGGCCACCGCCGCAGCTCGCGCCAGCCCCTCCAAGAAGCCGCGCCATCACCGTCTTCCCAGATGGTCCTGGCGCCTACCCCGGCGCACGTCAAGAGCACTAGCCGTCGCGCCGCCGCCCAAGACGCTACACGGGGTAACTCGCGCGAGCACGCCAGCGTGCAACCGCTGGCGCCCACAAGCCGCCGGCAGAGCCAGCAACACATACCGCGCGCAGAACGCGAGAGCCAGGCGCTGGCGTCGCACCCGTACGCGGCGACGCCGAGCCCCGGCGGGTACCGCGCGACGGCGTACGACCGCTCCTCGCCCAACGGCGGCGTGCCCACGCCGAACGGGCAGGCCGCGGCGAACTCGGACTCGTTCGTGTACGGCCAGCAGCAGGCAAAGAACGGGACGAACTCCCGCGAAGGCACCGCGACTGCAGGGACGACGGCGAACCGCGAGACAATAGTCGGCGCGGGTGCGCGGGGGATGAGCATGTATGACCGGGAGCAGATGGCGAGGGTAGGAGAACAGGACGAGCACGGCGGCCGGCACAGAGGCTTCTGGGCGGCGTTCTGCTGTCGCGGATGAACTTGCGCGTCTCGTTGGTGAAAGTGTACGTCCTGGGTCTGTTGATGACGGCGGCGGTTGGTGCTGATCTGCGCCGGGTCTGCCAGGCTTTGCATGCGGCGACCCTCATGACCCACATTGACGATCGACTGTTTTACCGTAACCTATTCAGCTGCCTTGGCCCGGACTTGACACCCGCTCACGCTCCTTCACGACGATCATCCGCGCTCAGCATTGGCACCAAAACGAACCACACCTCTTGCGTATCCGGGACACTGCCGTTCACGACGTACATACCTCGCACGCATCTCGCTCTCCGCTTTGGCTCTCTCCTAGACAGAAGGGACGCTGGTCTATAGTGCACGCATACGTTCTCGCTCTGCTTTACGCAAACCGACACTTTCGCTTCGCCGATTCCTCTTCCGCGTTACCCGCCTTTGTATATTAGTGTCTCGCGCTTCCCACTCTCGCCTGACATCAGTGCGGTCCCCCTGGTGGACCTCCCGTGGCGTCGACCGCCCGCGTATTGACGGAGTACTGACACTCACTCGCACCCTCCCTGTTAGCTGGTTCCTTCCGTCCTCTCCCGCTCGCATGGTCCATTTCTCTCTCCGTATCCTAAATAGTCTGAAGTTTATACCGTCTGTCTAGAGACCCTTCTTTCGCCGCACTTATTTTCGGAGTACATGGGTGTTCAAACGTTCACCGCTACCTCCGCCGTTGAGTACCGTAAGCCCACCCACAATGAATGCTAATTCAGAGCGCTTAAGTGCGAGAAGAGCTGAGCGGTCGCCGCAAGGCACGAGAACTTGCGATTGGAAGCCCAACTTGATTGCCTGGCCTTATTGAGATGGCGGTGTGGTGTGTAATTATGCAGCGACGGCGAAGTCGAAGAGGCCAATATTTGCAAAAGCGAGAGCGTCGTTTGGTAGACGGGAGACTAGGCTAGCCTGAGGTCTTGCCCAGGGCTCGTGAGAGCCCAAGGCTTCCGTTCAATATCAACCTCGGTATAGATCTCATCCGAGAGTGAAACAGGCTTTGCGACGCGATTTTAAGACTTTTTTGGAAGACTGGGAGAGCATGAAACCGATCGTGTGCAGGTTGCAGTACTTTCTTCCTGTATGGCTTGGTCGATGTAAATCTAAAGCTCTAGTTGGCAATGTGTTAACAACATAGTAACCTTCGATAGCTCAGTTGGAAGAGCGCGAGACTGTAATGGATACATATCATCTTGAGGTCGCTGGTTCGATCCCGGCTCGAAGGATTTGTTTTACCATTTTGGTAACGAGCGCGAATCTCCAGGTTTATCCCATCAAGTGAGCTGACATTTACGGAGACATCCCACTGCGACTACGGGAGTGGTACGGTGTCGCCATGGATTTCGGCCCCTCCCACGAGGCAAGACATGTCTCAGGGGATTTCCTGGTTCACAGCATCGCTGCGGTGGACAGGATACGGACGAGGGGATGGCCCGGACGACTGGCCGAGGCCAATGGGAAGAGTGGCCGTCGTACGAGAAGCCGGCTTGGGAACTGGCATGACACGGATTGAAATAAGCAGGTGTGGGAACATGATGCGCATATACCCCATTTACCCCACAGCGGATGAGTTCAAAGCGGCCGCGTCTCGAGTTCTCTCGCCTCTCATTCTCGCCCCCAAAGGCCGCTGTCCAGAAAGATAAAGACCACCCACCTCGCACCTCGCCCTCGTCATCCCCACCACCCACCACCTCACATCATGTCCGCCTTCCGTGCCGTCTCGAAGCACACTCGCTCGCTCTCGCGCACCATGACCGCGCGCCCTGCCGCCGTCCGGGCCTTCCACTCGCCCTTCAAGGTGCTCGCCAACTCGCCGCTCACCAGCCCGCCCCCGCCGAGCTCGACCGTGTCGCCGATCTACGAAAAGCAGCAGGACCACTCGCCAGAGCCGCAGCGGTCGCACGCCGGCACGCAGACGTACGTCGTCTCGGAGCCCGACCCGTCGCATACGCCGTACGAGGTGCCCTCCGGCGCGTACCCGACGTCCGCGCCGTACCAGAACTTCGCCGCGACAGAGGCGCCGAACCAGGGTGCGCAGCGTTCCTCGACGAGTGCGAGCTATGCTCACCCCACCCTGACCCGCAAGGTGCCGCAGAATGAGTCCGGCGTCATGGCCAGCGCGGCGGTCCGCCATGCGGAGGCGCCGGGTGAGATGGTGGGCGGGAGCGGGGGCGGCCTGGGTTTGATGGATGGGAAAAGCACGAGGAGCGGGGAGGGCAGCCTTGCGGAGAGGAACCCTGCGCCTGATACGCCTGGAGTCGCTGAGAAGTGGTCGAAGATGGGCAACGCCAATGCTTGGAAGGATCGCAAGTGAGGTCGCGGTCTGCGGATGTGATGCTGCTTTCGTTGTTGGGATTCGTATTTGCCTCTCTAGTCGCGCGCGTTTGTACGAGTATAGTGAAGAAGAAGCCGCTACGCCTGAAGTAATGCATAGACTGTACATATTGTCCTCCGCGCCGTTCGTTGTGCCCTGCTCGCCGCTCCCTTCGTCAGCCACTGCTCGTCTGACTGCCAGCGCAACAGCTGGCGGGGGCAGCTGACTGCGATAACGGCAGCCCGCGAATGTGTCTGGGCATATCGGCTGTGGCGTGTGTGACCCTGGCGAGTGAAATTGGACGAATTCGTCGCAAGGTTGGATCGTCTGCCGTCGGCGCGCCGCTACCCCATGACGCGTTAAAGCGGCGCTAATACGTCGCTACCCCACCGGTCCCCACGACGCGTTCATCACGTGCATCAGCCGATCGGAAACGCGATCTCGGGCGCGACGCGTCTGTGGCACCTGCGCGAGCCGCGTGCCACCAGTGCCAGCGAGGAGTCACGACAATATGCCGTACTCACTTTATGGCGGCCATCTATTGCATTGCTAGGGCATCTTCAAGTGCTACTGATCTCACCACCCACGCAAAATCTGAATACCACAAGATTAGAAGTGCTCTATATTTGAAGCTTATCATGTCCGAACAGCGGTCACGGTGCTTATAACACGGCCATGAATTTGTGCGGAATCAGTGCGGATGTCCGCTGCCATGAAATGACGGATGAAATCGTTCCGGACAACATGATCCTTCCGCCGCATACCAGATTTCACCACTGACCTCGCTGCAGCGATAGTAGGACTCGCACTACGCTGATGCCAACAACTGCAATGTATTACTCGATTGTATCACGTATGTATATACGATGGATCAATGAGAGGAACTAGTAGTCGTGCCAATAAATAAACCATTCAGCTCTTGCGGTCATGATACGCGGCCGTAAGCGGTGTAGCTTCGGGCTCCTTAAACGCCGTCGGAGGGAAGTATTGTGCTCCGCTGCCCTTCCGAGCCGAGGATGCCTTGATCCCCAGCACAAGGCAGACAATACCAAGGGCTAGTGCGCCGCTGAGCAGTCCGATGGTGACATAGACATTGCGGATCAGCGCGGTCCACTCGGCCAGCGACACGGACGTACCAGAAGTCACTGACGCGGAGGCCTCCGCCACGGCGCCGCCGACGCTCGCCGTCGACGCGCTACCAGTGGTAGATACGGGCACCGCAGTAATGTCGACGAGGGAATAAGTATACGTGGGCTCGGCTGCGAGCGGCATCGAGCTGGTCACGTTGTAGAGGCTCGCGAAGGTCTCGTACTCGTCCTCCGCGATGCGCCGCGCGTTCAGCTCGTCGTATGCGGCGTACGCCGCGTCCGCGTCCGTGATCTGTCGGACCGTGTCTTCTCAGTGGCTATGAATGCTTCGGCCGCTCGTGCGAACTTACCCCGAGGATCTGAATATAGGGCGTGGTAGAATTATCGTCCGTGAGGAAGGCGTTGCCGTGGTAGTAGAGCGTGTAAATGTTGCGCATGAACGTGTCCCCCAAGGTCCAGACTAGAAACGCAAGTGAGGATTGCATACGGTCCGTAACAACGGGGGAGGCGCACGAGGGTCTTCAAGGGCGCTGAACGCGCCGCGGCACCGCACCGCACCAGTCGTGTTCACATTGTCGACGATGACGGAGTCGAGCGGATGGACTGGGTAGCTGATGCTACTACGAGCGCGATGACCGTTTGAGAGCCGGGATGACCGCGAATGCTAGAAGCGCAGCGTACCTGAAGACCATGCTGATGTTGACCTTGGTCTCGCAAGGGACCTGGTAATACCCGCCTTCCTCCAAGAAGACAGCGCCCGGCAGGTCCTTGTACATCGCATCCACATAATATCTCGGCACCAGAGCTACGGTAAAGCGAATGTTCGAAGGTGTCAACGGGTCTTCGCGTGTGCAGAAGGGAGGTCATACCGAGAGAAGTACCACTGTCCAGGAGGGCGAGGCTCTGATTTTCTGCAGGCTGGACCGGAAGCCCAAACTCGTTCGGTGAGATGCTAGGTAAAACCGTTAGACATTGACAAGACGAGTCAAGCGCATCTCCTCACCCAGAGCTGTTGCCAGGATGGAAAACGCCGTTCACGGTGAGGCCATCCAGAAGCGTAATCCATCCCTCGGAAGAGAAGACGGGAAGCTTCGGCGTTTCTAGAATGCCAGTGTAGTTGCTCACGATCTCACCTAGTTTAGGGTGTCAACAAATCGCGGCCTAGCGCACCATACCGTCTCCTTACCAATCGTGAGGGCCCCGCCTTCAGCGTATTCGGAGTCCCCGAGTGCTCCGCGCGACAGAAGGAGAGTAACGAATTTAGATTCGTCTGGTAGCCCGCTAAAAACCTGGAAGCGTAGGTCGGGCTAATGACGCGGTTCTGCAGGGCCATGAGCACTCACGTTCTGAAGGAATGGCAGGCCATTTGACGACGTGCCGTTCAGATCTTGGTAGATGCTAGAGCCCATGGGCCTGTAACGCGAGCATCAGCTTGGCCCGGACACGACCAGTATCATCGCCCTACTCACAGGCCTATACCGAGGAGGCCCTGGTCTGCGCCTGCGGTCGTGGCGTTCGATCCGGGAGCGGTTACTACGAATGGTCAGTGAGAGGGAGATGTTCTCGCGCCTTGACTTGGACAATGGCGCACCAAGAGCCTGTCCCGCGACGGTGAACTCTCCGAGTGTGATATTGCCTAGGACGATGGGCCCCTCAGCTACCGATCCATCACTGAACAGAAGGTGGCGAGTGTGAGTCTACCATTTCACGACCAGAGGACGCTCCGAGTCGTGACAAACCCATAGGATGTAGTACTATTCTCTCCCGTGTTGGTGAGGCCCTGAAGGTCATAGCCCATAGTATTGATCCACAGGTCTGAACTGCCCGAGTCTATTTGCACCTGAGTTCATTGGCATGATATCAGTAGTCGGCGAGGCTGCGTCATACATCTCCACTGGCATGCATACCTGGAACGGCTCGCCCTGAAGGTAGATAGTGGCAGTATACAGACCGTTGCCTACGTCGGTGAAGCCAGTGCTGCTGATACCATTAGGGTTGGAGACGACTACCGTAGCTGATCGAGTGGTGGGGCTTCGCCGCTGAACGGGAAGTCGCAAAGCAGAAACCGAGCCGGCGAAGAGAAAGAAGAGGGAAGAAAAAAACATGACCAGAGAAAGAGATGCTGGGTAGTGGCGCGACACTACGCTTTTATGCAGCAGTCGCAGCTGCGCCAGCGTCGCGATCCCCCAGGCCAATTCGGACTTCACGGGTAAGACATCCAACACACTAGATCCGGAATACGCTTGTGGTCCATTGCTGCCCATCGGCGCGTCGCGTGAGTGACCAGCGCATCATGAATCGTGGTTGCGGGCGGCAGGCGGCGCTGATCCACTGTACGCCTAGTCGGGACTTCCGAGTATAACATTCTGCAATCGACCAATCCTTGCGCTCGGGTCGACCATGCAAAATTCGACAGCATGGCCTGCAGCGAAAACCTGTCGGAAGTTGCAGCAGGTCCCGGTCAGGATGCGCAGGCATGTTCATCGCCGGCCTGTAGTTGAAACAAGCCACGTTCCCGAGTTAGCCGTGCGGCGCCGAGGTCGGGCTGAGTAATGGTGTATCCTATAGTGTTCCTATATGCCTTTCCCTCTCTGACCCACCGGTCGATCAAAGGAAACATGCTTCGACGTGTTGCAGACCGCGCCTCAATGACGTATATCAGCGTCAATGAGGTTGTGTCAGACTGGGCAAACATATCCGAACGGCGGGATACTTGAGTTAGTTCCGAGTTCATAGAACAGAGCTAAACCAGATTCCTGACATCGCACTTTCAGCATATTAACCTTCAGGGTCGCACAACTCACGTCAACTGTGAGTGACTGCC